CTTAGTCCAGCTTCTGCCCCTTCGAACAATTCCCCCACAACATTAGAAATTTGGGACTTAATAAATAATCCCACAAATTCATCAAAAAGAAATAATACCAAAAACACTTTGTTATCTGATCTCCTATCCGTTTCTAAATGGCCAAAAACTTGATGGATTGGTCAACTTGTGTTTTGCTTGTCTTAATCTAACAGTGACATTATGTACAAACATAAGACAAAATTTTAGAATAAAAGGAAAAAGATTGTGAAGAAATGTGGATGGCAAACATCATTAATTAACAATTTTTCATGGAAGAAAATGTCATAGTTCCCTTATACTCTATTAGCAGTAAGATGCAAAAGAGAATACAACACCTAGCAGAAAGCAGCCTTGTTCTAGCTCCAACTATTGTTCAACACCCTGCAACAGAAAGAAGCCAGAGAAACCAATCACCACAATTAATCCAGGTTGTTATTGTGATAATAGCAACCTTTCCATAGAACCGAGGTTTGTGAAAACATGGATTACATCTTCAAAATCAGGTAATATAGGATATGTTAGGTTGAAGAGTAAATTTTTAAAGCTTGAACATGTTTGGACTTTGGAGGAATGAATTTATTAATTATAAATACTTCTAACAAATTCACAAGGCAACAAACATTTTACCCAAGTTGGTACCTATTAATTTTCAAAAATCAAACAATGATTTGGGGTCAAATTTAGGGACTGAAGCGTTTCCAATAGCTAAACGTATTAACTTCAAAGGCAATAAGACACCAAGCAAGGAAGAAACTCTATAAACATGATTATAATTGAACAACAGGAGATGCATACCTGGATATTCATAGAAAGATATCCATCTATGTATATGATGATTCATTACAACATACACTGCCACACATATAGGCGACACATTATCATATAATGTGGTCATGTGAATAAAAAACAAGGGAAAAGGACAACAAGAAAGGAAGAGAAAAAGAAAGTTCAAGAGAAGGTTGGAGGGGGGGGGGGGGTGTGCAGCAGTGCGCTCCTTCAAAAGATTGACAAGCTTACACTTCTTATACTCCTCTCCAATTTGTTATGCTGCTAGACTCTAACAATCTCCCGAGCTCAACCTCTCAACCTTCTCATCAATTCTAAGACCCAACAGTTATCAAAACCTATTCACAGGCAATCCCCTTCTGCTATCATCTCATTTTCACTGGCATTGCCTCTTCTTGTTTGCCAATTTGTTTCTTGGAAGATAGAAATCCCCTTAGTTCTGTTCATGAATTACAAGACTCAAAAAACTTCCTAGAGTCCCTATACCCATAATCCCATTTCTATTTCTTTCTTCATTTTCCACCGGTTTGTTCCCTCAAAATTTTCCTCATCTTCAACCTCTTATGTAATCCCCATTTCACCCCACCTGGCATTCAGTTTCTAAGCAGATTATAAAGATATAATTGGGAGTAGATGCAAAAATCAAGTTATGCTAAACCAGTAATTTCTGTTTATCTATTCAATAATAGAACCATCAAAATGTGTAATCAAGTCACATTGAAGATTCTTACTTGATACAAATTTCTGGAAACCAAATGACAAAGGAGATGAAAAACTAAACCTGAGAGATCATTTAATCGCTTTCGTTACAGCATTAGCAGAGCTCTCGGAAACTGTAACTTTCTCGTGTTGCTCTTGCTTCTGAATCGACCGTCGCTCCATTTCTCGCCACCGGTTGATTGCTACCGTGAACAGAACTGCAGAGAATTGAATATGAAGTTGATTAATTTTCCAGTATATCAGAGTCGAGATTAATCAACAATTGGTTTGTGATATGCGTGATGTAACTTACATCCGGAACCGACAAAAAGGAGCAGTCGGAGGACCTTTGGACCGGGCGGACCTGCTTCTTCTCCGTTCATGTCTCTCCCCCTTCACTAGTTCCGGTGCCTATCGTCTGTATATTTCTGCAATCAATTTCTCAACTTGCCGTAATCGCAGCAGCGTTTGGGAACCGAGAAACTGAGAGAAAATAGGTCACTGGAAAGGAAATCGAGAGACACAGGAGCACCTCAGTTGATTAGACTATATTCACGTTCCCAAAAAGTCCCTCAATCTTTTTTCCCTTCCACTTATACCCAAAATTTCATGCTTTCAATATTTCACACGATAGTCCTGAAGAGAACCAAAATTTGAACGTTAATTTCACAAAGAAAATGTTGTTTTTCAATTTGAATTGTAAAAAAAATATAATTCAAACTGTGAAAATATCAAAAAATTTAACAAATATTTAAACACTTTTATAATTTGAACTGCATACAATCCAAATTAAAAAAATATTTCTATTTCACAAAACAAACTTAATTAAAACAAATGAAGATGATTTTCTTTAAGGCTACCATATTTGAGTATGCTAGAGCTAACACAGATAAATTGTAACTTTTCACAAATTGATAATTACTTTTGTCAAGTTTTCAACTTAATATTCTCTTTTAAAATGCATGCAATAACTTTAATAACATAACAATCAAGTAAAAGAAAAAGGGGCATAACTAGTTATAAATGAAAAGGTTTAAAACATAGAACCAAAATTGTCATTTTGAGAATGGTTGTGAAGTTGTAAATTGTATAAAAGATGCAAAGGGCAAGATTATTCATTAATATGGTTCTTGGTTAAAAGTGAAATTGGAAAACTCATGGTACTCAGATGATTTTGATATTTTGGTTAAAACTTTCTCTACAAATACTCAATTTCTAGTTGGAGATAGGACTAATGAGAATAAGGAGCATCATGCATTTGTAGCTAACGGAGCAAGCCAAATGGAGGGGAACAAAGATGCTGCTGTGACTATGGGTCCGACGGAAGTAGAAATGAACCAGCCTCCTACCGAGAATGTGAATAAAGATGCTATTTTGCCAGCTTTGATGGATACACAGTTGGTGGATGTACCTTTATCCCTTGAGTTTGGTGGTGTTAAAAGGGCCAAAGGACGAGGGAAAGTTGCAAAAGGAGGCAAGGGTAAATGATAAAGAATAGAACGTGAGGTGGGACCCTTGTTGCATATGGAAAAAACCAATCAAGGAAAAAGAAAGAGCTATACGGCAATTTTGGAGGAACAAATGGCTTGCAAGGTGATTCTAAACAACATAAGGGTTGCTATGGTTCTTGACGTGCTTGGTGATGCAGAGGGCACTGTTCTTGTTTCACAAATAGACACCTTTCATCCATTTGCTGGTTAAAAAACCAGTTGAGGATAGATAGAACATTATAATACTGGGAGACACTACATTGCCAAATCATTGATCTCCTATGCTAGGTTTGGATGGTAAATAGATGTGATTACTAGCAGTGACTATAAACTCCAGAGTAATCTTCCTATGTTATTGCATAATTCTATTGATACCCATACAACGTATACTAGTGTTTAAAGGTCTTCAATTCCTAATTATTCTATTTGTATGGAACACTTAGCTTTATATGTTAGTATCTGAAGTCTTTCTTAACTTATTTATAGTTCTTATATAGCCTATATAGCAAGATATATTTTGCATTGTAATTATTTTTCAATTATTGATCCAACCATATTTTCTATATATATATATATATATATATATAAGAGATAGAACCCAAGCCCAAGCTTAGTGGTAACATAATGGAATTTCCATCTGTGTGATCAATATGATTACATTTCCCCCACCCCACAATATAATTGCTTGAAGGAAGGTTTAGGATACAATTGTGAGAGAATATAGGTTGGAGGTATTTTGAGGCACGACCTCCAAAGATTTGGGAGCATTGAATTATTGCTACATAGAATCTGATAGCCGATTGGTCCTTGTCCTCCTACACTTATAGTTTTATCATTTATCATAGTAATAATTGCAATTCTTAATCCTTGTGCATAGAAAAAAAGTGACAATTATTGTGAATGAGTCGGAGGGATTATGTAGTATGTAGTATGTATTATTGTGTTCATTATAGGAGCTGATTTGTGGATGTAGGAGCTACTTTATTAAACGATTTAAGTCCAATCTGAAGTGTATGTATGTATGCTGGTACAGGTAAATTTCCAGAGACAGCAGACGGTCATTTCCCGCCACTGCATATTTTCTACTGTCTTCATGCTGTGTGTGCCTATCTACGCTGCATTTTGTTGCTCTTTGTGTGCTTTTGATGTGACCATCATTTGATGTCATAGTAGCAGAGCAGGTCTCTATTGTCATGCCCTCGTCGAAACTTAAGCAGTCGATGTATGTAGATTGATAAGACTTGTAAAACTACTGTCTGGAAGTTCTGGTCTTACGGTTCCCTTATGCACCACAGTTTTTCATGTAGGTTATACACTATGTTCATTTTCCAGATGTTTTACGGGCTCAACATACAACTCTTTTGAGCAGGTTATACAGGAAACCAATTGGGCTCTTAGAAGAACTAACAACAGGTTCCTTTCCACATTACTTGTCCTATGTAATTCTATTTCATAGATCTGGTTTTGATTTGCTGAGGTCGACATTGTAAATTGTTTTCTGGGATTGTAGGAATGGCAGTTATGATTCTTGTTAATAGCAAATTTACTGCATCTACCTTTGCAAATACATTTAAGGCATCTCCATGCAAAACGAATTCGACCATCTGTTCTATACTTAGCTGTTAATGTGAATCAGTTTCGCAGACCCAATTCTTACAAGTAACCAGCATGATTGTACATCCCTTGGTCTTTTTTTAGTTCTGTTCATTCATTTCAACATTTGTGATTTCTTCGACTATGTTTTTTCAACTTTCAGTAGCACAATGGTCTGAGTAATATCGAATTGCTTTGGCTGGATTGAATTTTCTCTCCATCAACCAATTTGAAAAGAAAAAGAACATAGATTTAGCTATTTCAGCTTTTGCAAAACTTCTCATCCTTGAAGGAACTATTCTTAAAAATTGTAACCTAGTTGATATCATGCTACCTTGACAATTGCAGGTAAGTCTATTATTGCAGGTAATTTTGTGGCAAAATATGGAGTACTTTAACCAGGAAAAGGAAATGTTGTATATTAATGGTATATTTTTCATTAGATCATGTTCTGGCTAAGATGCTTTCTTAGGTTCTGCTCTATGCTTTCCCTAACTAGACGTAATTAGTATGGATTGATGGCTGTGAAAGCATGATTGATTTAATATCAAACATAGAAGATTTCAATTTTTTCTCTTGGCGTTGAGTACATGGAGGAGCTCAGAAGCTTGGTAGAGCGAGGAGTGGCCAATCGGATTAGTTTCGTCACATCTTTTGCTCAACATAAAAAAGGAGCTTTCTTCTCTCTCAATGCCTGTGTCCTTTATACTCCAAAGGTGCGTTGGCATCTATTACTCTAAAGAATTTGATTAGATTTGGAAAAGTATAGGTTTTGAAACACTGTTTTGAAATCAATGTAGGATGAACACTTTGGCATTGTCCCATTAGAGGCCATGGCAGCTCATAAACTTGTTCTAGCATGTAATAGCGAGGGCCTAGTGGAAACTGTTAAGAATGGGGTCACAGGATTTCTTTGTGACCCTACAGCAGGGTGTTTTGCTTTGGCCATCACTAAATAGATTCAAGATCCAGAAATGGCTAAGAGAATAGGTGAAGATGCCAGGCAACATGTCACTCAATTATTTTCTACTAACACTTTTGGCCACCATTTGAATCAAATTCTCATTGATGATGTTTGGAGTAAGGAGGACTAAAAACAAGGAATAGAAGCTAAAGATGGCTTTGAGGAGACAATTTTGGAGACATTAGTCATAACATTTGTTTCTAATAATTTCAGTCATCTGTATGGTTTCCTTGAGTTCTAGGAGAGATTTCATCAAGAAGACATTATAAATATCTCGGTTAGGTCAACAAAGATACAATGTCATATTTTGTAACACATGTTATTTGAACTTCTGCAAAAGCATTTCTAAGAAAATGAACATGTTCATCATTTTCTTCATTATTGCCTGAGTTTCAATTCTCACACCTGGCCTCTCTTGCAGACACCACCAAGCATCCCTGAATCGCCTCCTTGCTTCTTTTTCTTGCACATTTTATGTGTTTCTATCCATTCAATTTATCATCGTTTTGCCTTTATTCCCATTTTGCTATTCTTAGAAAGAATTTTCTGTAGATTCACTCCACAAAATTTGAAGACCAAATGGTTGGTGAGGAGCAAATAGAAGCTAAAGCCAAAGCAATAGAAAACATCAAATTTTCTGGAGAATGGAGATAAATAAATTACTGATCAATCTTGAATGAAGAAGCAGGCAACACAGAGTGGAGACATGGCGGTTCTCCTATCTGAATTAGGTGAACAAACTCTTCTTCATGAAGGGTAAATGAAGGTGCATAGCATATTTATGTTTATTTTGTAGCTTGGGTTTTGAAGGAATGGCCTAAAGGATCAAATAGAAGAAGCTATCCAGCTCGATGTTAAGTCGTGGGAGTAGGAGCCATCTCACAAGACTTCAAAACCCTAAACCTTAAAGAATCTAAGCTCATTGTCGATGGTGTGATTGGTGTCAAAATAAAATTCGAAGTACCACTATTTTTACAACAAGATTTGTTACGTTAATATAAAGTATAAATCCTATTATTAATAAGATTTACGTGAATACAATAAATCTAACAAAATTAGTAATAATACTTAAAACACCATATTAAACACAAAAACCTAATATATCAAATTTAAAAATCTCCACATATATAAATTACATATTTTTCACTATCTACTTCTAATACAAAATTCTATGGCTATCTACCCACATGTGAACAACTAATATTTGCCTGACTTGAACATAAGACTTGAAAGCCCCAAGCTCTTGCGATTAGGGACAGCACCACTTTAGATAGGCCGGCCGGTCCGGTCCCACGTCACAAGATGGGCTTGCAATCCCCAAAATAAGATTTCAGTTCACAAATTAACTTTCTCAATTTTCTGCAACAAAACCTTAATAAAACCTTTCAAAACCAATTTTCCGTATGCTCTAGACCGAAATGAACCGTGATGATACAAACATAGTTACATAAAGCACCATAATCCCAGGATCACTTTCACATTTCCCCTAAGAAACTTCTAGTCTAGTCACTCCTCATATATCTCTCCATGGCCATGTCTGAACCTTCTTCAGTCTCCTCCACCTCGGAAACTTGTTCTTCTCTAGACAGTTCACGCATCCAGATAGTTTCAAAATCAGTATCCGACAGACTCCTCGGAAAATTCTTTGATGCATCACAGTATGATTTTGATTATGAGCAGAGCTGCTTGTGGTCTCCTCCAATCCGTCGGAGCGTGTTCTTGGCCTCACCGGAAAATATTTGTTCCCAACATGAGTTGCTCTCCAAACTCAACGAGTTAGCAAAGAAGCCATGGAGGAAACGTCTTGCTTGCTTCAATATAATCGTATGCACTTTCAACTCCTCTCTTATATTTTTTTACTCCTATGTTGGTTTCTTTTAAATATAATTCTACTTTATGAATTCATGCTTCTGTTCGATCTTCTTCATTCACTTTTCTCAGGCATTTTGGTGCTCTTAATTAGAAGGAAGAATTCGTTTGGTGGCAGCTTACAATTACATAGCAGGCTACATCATCAGTTTTCAAGCCAAGATCAAATGTTGGGTATATCCCTGTTTCTGATAAGGGGTAAATTGAAATTTTTGTAGACTTTTGACTTGTTTTTAATTAAGGATTCAAGAATCATGTTAATAGACATTGATCTAATTAACTTGCCCAACAAATAGAGAAAATTTGCAGTATTAACTCACTTCGATCGGCTCAAGTGACAAGATGAATGTGAATCATGCCTGAGAATACAGGTTTTGAATCCTTTTATTGTCATTTTTTTGGGTATAAATAATTAGAAAATGATTAGTACACACTTGCCTCTACATATTTTCTGACATATTTTTGGTTTAATAATTAAAAATACAATATAAATACAGTCAATTCAGTTGGTTCTTATATCTTATATGTAAGATTGTATTTTTAAATTTGTTTACTTTTAATTTCAAACAAAAAAATAATTTTTTTAATAAGTATATTATATAATGTGTTGAACGAAGTATGTACCAATCACAATCCTCAATAATTTTTGTAAACCATGTTCATTACAATTAAAAGTGAAGTTTTGACTGGTATTTGAGAGTAGAATAGTTTATAAATATTTAAGTAACTATATTTTCAAAAAAAAAAAAAAAACAATTGTTGTATATTACAGACTTTCCAAAACCTCAACAATAGAACATTACTTGAACTTAATTTTATTCTCAACCTTCTTCTGTTTTCTTCTTCTTCTTTTTTCGCCAAACTTGATCGTCACCTCAAACATCCAAAATTTTAATTAATTTTTTATAAGAAAAATTTTTAATTAGTGGTGCTTAATAAGCTAAAGTCTTCTTGGTATAACAACAATTCTTCTAAAAAGTAGTTCAAGCATTTGGCTTGTATAATTCACTTTACAATTTACCAAAAACACTTCATGACATACATCTCAATTCTCAAAGGCATGTTTTGTCTTCAACTTAACAACGATTCGTTTTAAACCATAGAAAGAGGCAAGGTAAAGGGAAAACAATCCGTTCCAATTTCTGTCAAAAAAGGGCAAGTCAAAAAAGGAAACATCTGCATGCATGTGGACGTCCATCTTTTCCAGCACTGTCATTCATTTCTAGCTAGTATTCATTCATTTCCTTCCATTAGTTAAATTTTTTCCTTTTTATTTTTGAAAATGAATATTAAATCCGGTATTTTAAACTAAAGGTTTTGAGATTCTAAATAAAGTTGTAAATTTGAATTTGTACAATGACATTTCGGACATCAGGCAGACATTCCCTGTAGTCTGCAGATGAGAGCAAGCAAAAGGAATTTCCAGACAGTATTTTCAGTTAAAGCTCTGAAGTATATAACCTTTAAATCGAAGGACAGCCGCACTGTCCCAACGCAAACGGTTCACTTAAGATTCAAGGGAAGAAACCTGCTTTCTTATTTAATCTTCTTTTGTTTCAAATGACTAAAATATTCAGATTCCTTGCCTTTCACTACTTCTTGCCAAATAAAAGCTTTTACTTTATCTCTCC